CCTACCAGGAAACACCCAGAGAAAACACTGCCTGTGTAATAGCTCTGTTGTTGTGAGGAAGAGAAAAAAAAAAAAAGTCAGGCACTTACAGAGACCGTAGAGCTGGGTGTGTTTGTCCCATAGCCAGAGGAAGGGAGAGAAGCCAACGACCAGCGGCGTCCATCAGTCCTATTGAGAAAATGAGTTTAGCTTAGGCCAACGTTGGCATACTGTCACATGGGAACTCCAGGGAAACTAAGTATTTTTAGTCAAACAAATGACACAAACATAGTCTGTGAGGATGTGGAAATGCTCAGCAAGGGTAAGGATAAACAAACATTATACAGTAGGTTGACTTTTATTTAAACTGAATCAATACAACCAAACAAGTAGAAAGTGAATGGGTTGATCCATATTATTGATGTCTCACTAATATACTCTGACAAAATGAATACCAGGGATAATTACAATGGTCAGACTCAGCAGATTCAAATGAATAAGAACAGAAAGGGAGGAGGAAAACACTCTCATCTGGAAACTGATAACCAGAGCAAATGATTTTTGGAAGGGGCTGATTTCCAGCATGGCACAAGCGCCTGTGGGGACTTTCTTTGCATCTGAAACACTTTCTGCTTATGATTTTCAAGCGAACAGTTCTACTCATCATGCTTAGGGAAGAAGGGATCATTGGGCTCATGGCTGGCTCAGGCCTGAAGTGTCAAATAACTTTAGCATTAAGTAAGTAACTGACCTTATGCTTAGAATCTCTTAAGAGTTACTGCCTTCGGACATGACCTGGCTTGTTACAGCAAAGCCTCCTGCTGAGTCTGAGCATGCAGCCCAGCTCTGGCTGGTTAACAGTCAGGGCAGAAAGAAACCTTCTCCATCAGTGATAGAACTTAATGCAAAGACTAAGTTGTTTGCCTCAGTCTTAGAGGCAAAGCTGGGAGGAGCCATGAAGAGGGTGGTTTTTATCTTCGAGTGATGACAGAATGGGTGGTTTCTCAGTTGGAGTTTGGCTGTGAATAAGGGTCATTACAAGGGTCTCAGATGAGTGAATGCAGCAGTAGAAACAATACTGCTGCAAAGGGAAGGGGACACCAGAAAGCAAATTTTCTGAAATCTCTGGCATTCCAGGCTATTACTTTAAATGCAATTTTGAATAAGATTGTGCCTTAAAAGCCACAGAACATTTTGAATGTTCTATGCAAATCTGCCAAGGGGCAAAAAAGGAAACACACACTTTAAAAACAGCAACATTGCATTCTTAGATCAATAAGACTGCAGTGTCATATACGGACATTTCGTAATTTGTGTTATTACGTTTGTAATTATGTTAACTTGCCAAGTGACAAGAGTGGACAAAATTTACCAGAGACACATTCACAATAAGTTGAAGTTAGGGAATTCAACAGCATCAGGCTTGAATTTGAGAAATGTCACCGTTAGATGTTAATGTAAAAAACTGACATTTTAGCCTAAATTTATATTCATGGGAAAATAAAATTATAGGCTGCCATGGATATAACCTCCAATAAATGCAAATGGTCCACAAAGACAAATGGAAAAAGTCAAGTGGACAAATCACAGAACTACCACAATGTTAAGATTTTAGTAAAATTTACCTGTCATTTCTGTACCATGATTGGAGTACAATTGAATCAAGTATGTTAAAAAAAAAAAAGAAGCAAAATAAGATGTATGTAAATATACCAGATAAAATAAATTGAGATAAGTTATATGTTCTTTTGAAATACTTTTAAACAACTGAAAATGTTAATGATTTAAGAAGAAAGTAATTATATAACATGTTTATAAAGATACTTGATTGTTAAATGGACACTTATTAAAGAGTTAAGAATCCATACCTGCACTATATATTTTAAGCACCTCCAATTTGATAAAGTAAGAAAAGGATATGATTTTAAAAGAATTATTTAGTCCATTTAATAGCAATTATCAGAAACTAGTCTCTGGAAAGAGTGAGGGACACAATTTCCCCCCACTATGATTTTCTTTTGTGATTCATTAACTCTCCTTCCCCTCAGGTATCAATGAACATATTTCAGATGAATGAGCAATTCCAAGAGAAGACATGTTCTTATTAGTTCTGAAGCATAAATTACATTTGCTTGCTCCAGAAAACACACAACTAGAAAGATGTTTAAACATGAATGTGCTCAGTACTCTGTACAGCCACGGACCAGAAATAATTTACAACTCATAAAGTTCCCTAAGTTGTCTATGTCTATTTACTCAAATGGAGCACAAAGGACCACTGCATTTTCATTACCATGACAACTGCACATCAGAAGTTACTATACATGCTATATACAGTACTTGAGAGAACATGCCCTTTTTTCAAGAAAGCTATCACACAAGTGCAATTTGGATCCTGCTAACAATGTTGTCTTTGCTTTGCAGTAGCTACCATTGAAATGTTATAGGAAGACAAGACTACATTCTTGCTAATGCAACAAGCCTTTTTTGAAAAGAGTCTTTTCCCTTGTGGGTGGGAATCTTGGTGTTACATTACATGAAAAAGTAAGAAGAGAAAAATATCTGATGGGAACATGGGACACAAAAAAGATCAGCAAAAAAATAACAACCTTTATTTCAATACCACTCACAAAAATTTAGATTAATATGGTACACAACAAGGAAAGAATAAACAGTTCCAATATCAACCTGGCTATTCTAACTGTATGAAGAGGAAGCAGATTTATTGTTATAGTTACCTGGAGTGATACACCGAATATTCCAGTTGATGTTGGAAAAAGTTGAACTATGCCAATATAGTTAACTCAAATCTACTCCAGAATTCTGAAGGTGTAACTGAGAGGTTACAATGATCAGACTCAGCAGATTCAAATGCATAAAAACAGAAACGGAGCAGGAAAAACACTCTCATCTGGAAACTGATAACAAGAGCCAATGATCTTTAGTAGGCCTGACTTCCAGCCCAGTACTCAACAATTGTCTGATGACCTGAACTCAGCAGGGAAGTTTGTAGTAGTAATTGGCTTGTAGAAATACACTTGGAGATTCAACCTAGTGCATAATAACTAGGCAACTAGGAGAGACCCACAGCATTTCTTGGCAGGCTCTATGTTTCCTACAAAAGTGAAAGCAATCTGCAATACATAAACTTCCACAACTTCTGAGAATGGCAGGAGAGTATTTTTACCTCCATTTTACCACCAGGGAAAAAAGGATTAAGTAGGTCCACAATCAGGCGGATTGTAAATTAATACCACAATTAGCAATGTGAAAATGTTTCCTTGCTCCAGACAACATCTATACTACGGTTCTCACTTTCATCTTTTATTTTACTTAGTAGTAA